CACCATCAGCACAGCAGTCTCTTTGTGTCTGGCCAACGCACCCTCATTAGCAACCATCCCACTGCGCCAGTAATTATGGCTTCAGCAGTTCCAAGGGCCTGAAAATATTTGGATATTGGTTTCACTTTTTTGAGAGGGACAGAACAGACCGAGCAGACCATGAGCTGCACCCAATCACAAACTTCAGGCAGAATGATACAGCAAAGAGTCTGACATGTGAAGAATGTGACTATTTGAAAGATGTGGTCAGACTTGAACCTGAGTGTAAGGGTTTCAGTGAACTGTGCTGAGATCACGCAGTTAGATCTTGTCTGGTTTCATAGCAATTCCACTTCTTCCAAATGGTCGACCTGAGCAACTGCATTTTAAATTTTTCATTTAGATACCAGTTGTTTTCATTTAGCTTTCAGAAACACAATCACAGTTTGTATGCAGATTGGTGCTATTTTTGAGGCAGACAATGTGCAGAGATACCCTCATCTGAGAGCCTTGGACTAAGCTCAGGATGATAACGTAGCATGGGTACATCTTGGATACATCCTAAGTTAGATTTCTTTTCATTCTACTGCAAAGGACACTAAATGCTTAAACATGAGAAAAAGGTGGTCTGGGAAAGAGGAAAGATGTAATGTTCTGGGTCTGCTGTTACGTTGTCCTTTGCTTCAAATAAACTCACTCAAAAGGGAAGATGTGAAAGAAGCCATTTGAAGTTTGGGGATACTCTTTTGCCATGCAGGAGAATTAAGCTTTGTTTGCAAGAAGCGTGGAGGGGCTATTACAGAGGAAGAAAGGATACTAGGAGTTAGTGTACTGGTAGGAAAAAGGCACAGGAAATGACTCTAGACTAGTATAATCTGACAAAAGATTAGTAGTATTAGGAAAGGTTGCAAAGCCATGCTGAGTTATGCCTATCCAGGGAATTTAATTCTGTTGGTGTTCTATAGGTTGGTCACTGTAAGTTCAGTGAATGCTACTCCTTGCCTTGAGAGGTTTATGTACAATGCCCAAAGGAGAGCAGTTACTGACTGGGTAATTACTAAGACGTGAATAAGTCATCTTTTGTGTCATGGTATACCCATCTTACAGAAAACCACATATATTTTCCTCATGTTGGTGACAAAAATCCTGCCAGACGTTTAGAGCTTATTTGAGGACCCTGGAGAGGAAAGGCTGAAATGGTGGGAGGTGGATAATAGTTTTTGAACTCTGGCATATTAATATGATCAAAACATGTGTAGGCCCAGGAGGTCTCATTGTAATACCTTGTTAATGTCTTCTAAGCTTTTCAGAGACCTTAATGGAGTTATTCTATGGGAAAAAAATTAACCTTAATATATACATTCAAAAATTAGATCCAACAGGCAGAATAAAAGAGCCCTTGAGACGAGGGTTAAGCTCTAATCTGCTTCTTTTTCCACTTTGTTGTGGAACCAGATGTGGCAGAGAAGGGGCTGGTCAGTGTGAAGGCTCTGCACTCATACAGCTGATATTCTGTCGTGTATCGTGTGAGTGTATGTGTCATGACAGCTAACAGGGAGGCTGGGGAGGCCTCTAGCTCAATACTGTCCTTTCCGCTCAGACAGGTCTTTTCTGCTGGAAGCATAACACAGGAGTACAAAGCTTGCAAATGTGTTCAGCACTGCTGACTCCCAGGGAGTCCCAGGGAATCCTACTTTGGTGTTGGGAAAGAAAGAAAATACAATACGGTCTATGCATGTAATCACATCGCACACTGCTTGACAAGGATGGGAAGGAAATGAAATGATACACAAGGGAGGCAGACCTGATTACTGAAAATTATATATACACTCTTGAGGTGAACAGTCTTCATCTAATTTGCAGGTAAATTAATGATTTACAAAGAAGCATGATCTATTAAAAATAAATTTTAGCAACAGACATATGGAGCCTATTATGATGACTTTTTCATTTAAATCTTCTAGTTCAATTTTTTTCTATATCTCTGTGCACTATAAGATGAGCTGATGAAGGAACAGAAAAGAGCTATAAAAATGAGTGGCTTAGCAAAGATGAAGAGACAAAATTGTCACAGCACAAGAACAGACAAAATTACCTATACCAAAATTAAAATAGAAAATAGAAGCTTTTTTTTTCACTCAGCACACAAATGAATTCCCTCAGCATTCCACAAGATGTTGTGAAGGCCACAAGCAAGAAAGGAATGCCATGGAGGATAGAATAAATAATTAGTGGGATGGGATTCACTGTTAACAATGACCGTGTGTGGCTGTAGAAATCTCTAAAATGCTGACTACCAGGGTGAAGGCACAGCAGGTAGGGAGCAATTTTTCTTTGCCTTGTGTGCTGAAGCATGGTTGCACCTGCCAGGAGCAGGGCTGGGGCCTCTCAGAGCAGCTGGGGCAGAGGCTCTGGCAGTGGTGGTGGGGCAGCAGGAGAGAATGAAAGCTACAGCAATCTCGAGTGAGAGATTTCACAATGCTGTGGAAATACATCTCTTTGTAGGCATCCACCACTCTGGCCCATGTCCAAGAGAGTGTTAGGCAATGCTACAGTGAGACAACAGTTGCGATTCCCAAAATCTCATTTTCTTTTACATCGACCTTCGTTAACAAAAAAAAATATCTCAAATAAATTTGCTAGTTTTCACATTTGCTAAAGGGCTACTACTTTTTCTTCCAAAACAATTATATCAGAAATATGATCTATTAAAAAAAAAAGGAGGTGGGGGTGCAGGGAGTACATTTGGTTATATATCCTTGTGTGGCTTTGTTCTGGGTATTTCCTGTAGTGAGAGACTTATGTTGCTGTAAGCAGCAAGGAACACAGGAATATTTTCCATTTATGTATATATGCACATATGTAACTGTTGTGTGAACATATATATATGTATTTTAGCCTGACTTCCACTTTGCTATCTGGAGGCAACAACTTTTGTCACCAAAGAGTCCCCAGAAAAACAATCTGTTTGCCAATACTGGACTGTATTATAATTAAGAACGAAACCCACATACGCAGGAAACCATAAAACCCCTCAAGTTAACTGTAGCCAACGGACGACAGGCCTGGAGCGGCAGCGGGCACAGGAGCCAGGCACAGGGAGGGATGACGTCCCAGGCCTGTCGTCTGCCAGTGGCTGTAGCCGGATGTTGCCACCCGTCCCATCGCGATCCCTGGTCGTTTTCTTTGCTGATTTTGACCAGTGCCCAGTTCCAAGAGGAAGTTCATCGCTAACCACAACACCTGTGCACAGCAAGGTGCCCTGGCCAGGCGAGTCCGGGCTCACACCTCCGCTGGGATGCCTGCCCGCCCCCATCGCCCCGCCCGGCCGGGGATGCCCCGACACCCGGGGACACGCCGAAACTACCGGCAGAGACATCGTTTTTGCAAGTGGCCTTGGACAGGAAAGGCGATGCATGCAAAGCGAGTAACCAGGAATGCTCCCAGGCGATGGGTGGCGCGGAGATGCTGATGGGTTTTTTTGCATGGCAAATACAACCCAGGAATTCACGGCGATAAGGCAGAGCAAACATTAACCTCCTGTGCCGGCTTTGTGAAACAGCCACGGCTATTTTCGTTTGCTGCTCCTTTTTCATGGAAAAAGAGTTTGTGGCTCAAAGGAAGCTGTAAATTAACAGCTAAGTGAAATCATTATGTCACTGGCATGCTTTAGTCGGTTAACAAAACACTGCTTGAGGTACGATGCATATTCGTGGGCATGAGGGAAACGCAGGCGGGTACTCGGGACGTGGAAAGCCAGCGGGGTCATCGACCTTGGCCCCGGCCTGGTCACCCCCCACCCCGTCGGCCAGCAAGGAGTTTGGAGCAAGGACCTCCACTTCGGGCCACAGAGGCCCCGGGCCGCCGCCCCGCGCATTCACACCGCTGATGGCCGGGCGTTTGCAACCCCTTTGCCTTAGAAAGGCTTCATTAAATTGTCCCAGAGAAACTATTTTAGATGAGTGGTGGGCGCGGGGGTCCCACTGCTGCTCTCTCGTTTGCTCCGGCGGTTTGCACCCGAAACGCCGGGGCAGAACGGAAAAAAAAAAGAAGGGGAGCGGGGTACCTCTTTAAAGGGAAAATAACCTGAACCCGTGGTGCCCGTTCGGGCTGCCCCGGCAGGCGAGGCGTGGCGAACGCGCTGCCGGGAAATCGGGAGAAGCAAGCGCCACACTCGCTGTCCTCCCGCCCCTTCCCCGGGAGCCCAGGCCCCGCAGCCCCCACCCGCGTCGGCCACACCCCGGCCCCGCTCCGGCCCGGGGGGGGCGGTGGGTGGGCGGGCGTTTCGGCGGCGCGGGCGCCCCTCCCTCCCTGGCCTCTCCCGGCCGGGCCGGCCGTGGGACTCCGATACACCTGCCCGGAGCGGGCTGGGGACATAGCAATAACGACAAGAGCAGCCCAATGTTAGGGTTCAGTTCCAGCTGATTTTATTTCCTTCCAGAAGAAAAAAAAAAAAACAAAACCAACAACATAAAAAAACCAAACAAAAAGCCAAAACAAACAAAAAAAAGGGAAAAAAAAAACAAAAACAAAAAAAAGAGGTTATTTACAGAAGGTATATCAACAATCTGACAGGCAGTGAACTTGACATGGTTAGCTGGCATGATTTTTTTCTTTTTTTTTTTTTCTTTCCCCACCTTGCATTGTGGG